TTCATGAAAGCAAGACCTTTGTCAGTATTAATTACCACCAAGTCCAGAATAATCCTCCCCACATATTAGGTACTCAATATACTAGTATATTTGGTGAAAAAATGAATGACTAAAATATATAAAGTGCTTCCCACAATAGCTTTTACTGAGTGTCTGCCCACTACACTGTCTTCTTTCTTCTTTGTCACTGGCTGTCTGCCTATATCAACCCTAATCACATCATCTTCGGCCTACAGTAATTGATCTCTCTGACATCATCTGTCCCTTAAACACTATTAATCTGCTAGTAAAATACTGGGTTAATTTCCTTTAAAAAACTTTGTCAATACCATTAATTGGTATAGTAACAAACATGACAAATTCACTCTAATTTTCCTACTCAAATAACTTCAATAGATCTTCACTGCATTCATTAAGAAATCTAAACTTCTTGGTATGTCATTCAAGGTTCTGTTCTATACTCTCCACCCAACTTCCCATTAATTCCTTAAATGAACCTCAGACATTTTGATTGTCCTTAAAGGGGTCATGTATGTTCCTAAATTTGATTACACCATATGACAAAATGAGAATACCTAAATGATTATTCCTTTAGGGCCCAAGTTAAGAGATAAATACTGGCTCGTTTTTTTATGTCCCTAATTTTTAAAACTATTATTACAAAACTAGAGGCCAGGTGCAGGAAATTCATGCACGGGTAGGGTCTCTAGGCCTTCCTTCCCTCGGCTGCTGGCTGCCGACTGGGACCTTCCTTCATTCTGCACTGCCCCCTGGTGGTCAATGAACATCATGGCAAGTGGTTGAACTCCCGGTTGGTCAAACTCCCAAGGGGACAATTTGCATATTAGCCTTTTATTATATAGGATAATTAGCATACTTTAATTTTGTTAAATAAAAATATCACATACAATTTTAAAAGTCTTCCAGGTCTCCAGGCTTAACATGCACAATCACTTTCAGATGTGATCACGACTGTTCAAATGATTTTCTATTCTTTGTCAAATTTCAAAGCATTTCTACATAGATTTACATATACTTAGAGAATATTATAAACAGTGTTCTGAATAATGCTTTTTACTTGCTATACTTTGTACATGATTTTTTTCTAATACCTGAAGAGCTAACCATCTCTTTTGAATTGTTATATAATGTATTTGTTCCAATATTCATATGCCATGAAGCATTTTTTCTCATATTATTATCTATCCATTTAAGGATTTTGTAGCCTGTAACTAAAGTTTTCCAATAGCTTCTTTCAACATTTAAAAAAATCAATGTAAACTGATGCTATGAACATGTATGTTTATGTCACCAAATTAATGATTTAAGAATTGAATATTTTGTACTCTTCACTAGGGGCCCAGCATGCAAAATCGTGGGAAACCCAGACCTGGTGCACTGCAGGATGCAGCGTCAAGTCCCACACTACAAGATGCAGCATCAAGTCCCACCAGCACCGCGGGACCCATCAATGCACCTCCTGGTGACTGGTCTTTGGTCATTATGGTGTTACGACCACTGGGTTTTTATTATATAGACTAGAGGTCTGGTGCACAAAATTTGTGCATGGGGGGGAGGGGGTTCCCTCAGACCAGCCTGCACTCTTTCCAATCTGGGACCCCTCGGGGGATGTCTGACTGGCGGTTTAGGCCCCATCCCCTCCAGTCAGACATCCCTCTCACAATCCTGGACCGCTGGCTCCTAATCGCTCATCTGCCTACCTGCCTGCCTGGTTGCCCCCAATGCCTCCCCCTGCTGGCCTGGTTGCCCCATGCAGCCTGAATATTCAGTTGTTTGGTCGTTCCCTCACTAACCTCCTGCTGGCCTGGTCATAGGCAGCCTTCTTGTGAGGGCATGAGGATCAATTTGCATATTACCTCTTTATTATATAGGATTATTCACCTAAGTTGCCCCTTAAGGCATTGAAAAAAAATAAACTATTTCCTAATGCATTCATTCAAATATGAAAAACTTGAAAAAAGAAAAGTTATGCTCTGAATGAAAAAACAACTATTCTGAATCAACAAAAAACTTCCAGAACTAATAAATGAGAATAGGGAAGTAGCAGGATGTAAGGTTAAATGAAAACATCAATTGTATTTACATATATTAGCAAAATCTAATCCAAACATAAAATTAAGTAAATAATTCCATCCCCAATGTCAAATAAAATACCAAAAAAACTTTAACAAAAAGGACTGTACAATGAAAATTACAAAGCATTGCTCAGAGAGTTAAATAAACTCAGAGACAGTTCACACTCAAGAATGAGAATACTCAATCTTCAAAATATTGGCAATTCTCCACAAATTGATCTATAAATTCAATAGAATCTTTATCACTATCACAGCAAGAATCGGTGTCAAAATTGATAAGCTGATTCTAAAATTCATTTGTAAATTCAAGGGGCCTTGAATAGCCAAAATAATATTGGGCGATAAAAGGCAAAGTTGGAGGACTCAGACTTTACTATTTCAAAATTTAACTACAAAGCTAAAGTAAAGAAGACTGTGTGGCAATGCCTGGGTTATAACTGAGAGTCCAGAAATAAACCTTTACATTTACGACCAATTTATTTTTGATACATATCAAGCCATTTCACTAGGGAAAGAAAAATCTTTTCAACAAATTGTGTTGGTATAATAGAATATCAACATGCAAATATAAACTTAAACCCTTACTTCATAACATGAATAAAATTCATTCAAGATAAAACATAGATCTAAATTTCTTAACTAGGCCTGCCTAGTGTGGCTCAGTTGTTTGGAGCATCATCTGGTATACTAACGGTGTAAGGTTTGATTCCTCGTCAGGTCCCATACCTAGGTTGTGGATTCCATCCCAGGTTGGGGCTTATGCGTCTGACAGGCGAGAGGCCACAGATGGATGTCTCTCTCTCTCTCTCTCTCTCTCTCTCTCTCTCTCTCCCCCCCCCCCCGTTTTCCTCTCTCTAAAAAATTAATAAAAAATAAATTTCATAACTAAAATTATTAAACTTCTAGAATAAAATGTAAAAGAAACATTTTAAAACCTGGAATTAGGCAGAGTTCTTAAATACAACACCAAAAGCATGATACATAAAAAACATTATTCATAAAATAGAACCTCATAAAACTCAAAACTTTCTGCTTCAAAAGAGACCATTAAGAAAAATAAAAGACAAGCTATGGAATGGCAGAAAATATTTGTGATTCATTTATCTGATAAAGAACTTATACCCAGATATCTACACTATAAGGCGAACAGCCCACTTTAAAAATGGGCAAAATAAATCTCTATAGACATTTCATAAAAGAAGATATATGAGTAGTTATAAGCAGATGAAAACATGCTTATCATCATTACTCACAGGGAAATAAAAATTAAAACCACAAATGAAATATCACTTCACACCTAGTAGAATATCTATAGTGCATAAAGGTAATTTTTTAAAAAAGTAAATTAAAAAAAAAAAGAATGTGAGAGCAGATTTTAGTGGATGACCTGCTGTTCTCCCATACTTCTGGCAGTATTGGAATAAACGCTCATATATGACAAAAAAAAAAAAAGAATGTCTGTAATAGAAAAGACAGGAAATACTAAGAGTTTACAAAGACATAAAGAAACTAGATCCCTCATGGACTGGTGGTTTCTGGTTTTTAGAAAGCAAATTCAGTTTCTGAATAAGTTAAACATAAAATTACTATACAATCTAGCAGTTGCACTCCTAAGAATCTACCCAAGAAAAATGAAACCTTATGTCTAAATAGAGACATGTATGTAGGTGTTCATAGCAGCATTATTCATAATAGCAAAAACTGGAAATAATCCAGATGCCCATCAATTGATGAATGCACAAAGAAAATATACTATATTCGTATAATAAAATATTACTCAGCAATCAAAAGGAACAAACTACTGATTCATGTTACATTAATGAGCCTCAAACCCATCACAGTAAGTGAAAGATGGCAGATGTAAACAACTACTTATTGTATGATTCTGAAAGAAATTTAGAGCCAGCACAGTGAGTCTTAGGAGATAAGAGAGGGTCCATGGGAGAGGAATGCGTAGATGAGGGCTTGGAGATGCCAAAATGCTTATTTTATGGAAGACAGAGGAATGTTGAAAGATAAAGGGGAGAGGAAGATAGGGACACCACGTGGGCTGTGGGCTTTGAGCTTTGAAACTGATACTATGTAGCAGAGTGAGCAATGAGGAAAGCAAGTAAGGAAGGTACAGAACTACAGCATATGTAAATCGCAGACAAGGGAACACAGGATAGATTTTAGATGATAGGTTTTTGGATTGAGATTTTTGAGAGAGAGAGAGAGAGAGAGAGAGAGAGAGAGAGAGAGAGAGAGAGATTTGAGGGCCCCTGCTCTCTCAGGTGGAGTTTGTATATGCTTCCAATAAACTTCTACATTTTTATTAAAGAAGCCTTTAGTCCACAAGTTTATTCTTCAAACTTCGTTGGACCAGGGCTCACAAAAAGAAATCTGTACCACGAACCCCACGTTTCAATTCCTCTCCATTAAATGCTTAGAAAAGGAAATTTATGGAGACAGAAAACAATCAGTGTTACCTAGGGCTGGGTGTTGAAGTAGGCATTACCTGCAAATGGGAAAGAAATTTTTAGAATGGTAAAAAATTCCCAACATTGAATTTTGGAGATGGTTATATAACACTGTTAATTTATTAAAATCATTGAATCACATATGTAAAATAAGGGAATTTTACAGTATGTAAGCTATTGATCCTTAAAGCTATTAAAATATAATGGAGACATTATATTTGTTTCTCTACAATTTGGTATTTTTCTGCTCAGCAATTTTTATGCAGTAAACATACAAGCTTTTTAATAAATTCACATATAACACATAACTAATGTGTCATTAGTATATGACATCTTATATAAATGTTGCAAAATATTAGTTTTATATAATTTAGATATGAAGCTTAGAAGCTAAAACTTCATTGCTATAAATTTGTTGAAAACAAACCATAAAGAAACCATTTACCTTTTTCAAAGGAGGGCAGAAATTAAAGAAAAGCCGATGGTTATATGTTTTGAATCTTTCAGGAAGATGAAAGTTCTGAATTATTTCTTCATCAGAAATAACATGATGATCCAATGCTTTGAGAGGCAATATAGTGTTGACAAGAACATGTCTATATCCTTTTTTAAGGCTTACTGGACAATCAAACAAAGTGAGGGCAATGAGGCTTGGACATGCAGATAACATGCATACATTCTTTAACTTTGCAAACCCATTGTCATGAAGGTAGAGAAGTTTTAGGCTTTTTAATCTACTCCAAAATCTGACATCTGGTAGACTCTTTATCTGAAATATTATTAATAATAGTGCTTTAAATACATATATAAAATTTATATCAATTGCTTAGAAAATGAAATATATTAAACATACTCTAAAATTCAATATTTTCCCAAATGGAAACTTTCTCATTAGTAAACAAAAACAGAACTTCTAATTATCCAAATGATGACTAGTATACAAACATAATATGATGTAGTTAAATAACTATCATTATTAATATAATTGAATTAATAAACATACATACTTCATCCAGTAAAAATGCCTTTGTAATAGGCTGACTCTTTAAACCTCTCTAAAATACTTTCTTTACAAAAAGAATTGAAAAGTCAAATCAAACAATGTGATAACATCACACTAAATAAATATAAAAATTATATGAACCTTTCAACAGAGGCAGGAAAAAAGCTTTTGACAAATTCTACATCCACTTATGATAGAGACAAACTCACAGATAAATAGCATGCTGAGAGCTCTTGGGGTTGCGGGGAGGGATTGAGAGGGAAAAAAAAGAAACTCAGAGAGAGGGACAAACTGTGGTGATTACCTGGAGAAGGGGGAAAGGTGGAGGAGTATATAGGGGAGATAAATGATGATGGAAAGGGACTTAACTGGGGTGGTGAACACACAATACAGTATACATAATACAGTGTGGTAGAACTGTGCACCTGAAACCTGTATAATTTTATTAAACAGTGTCACCCCAATAAATTCAATAAAAATAAAAAATTCCAAAAAATATATGTTTTTTGTATTTTCATACACTAATGACAAACTATCTGAAAGAGGAATTAAGAAAATTCCATCTATGATTGCACCACAAAATACCTAGGAATATTTTAACCAAAAAGGTAAAATACCTATGTACACTGAAACCTATATGACATTATAAAAATATTGAAGACACAGATAAATAAAAATATATTTTATGTCCAAGGATTGGGAGAATATCATTAAGAATACCCAAAGCATTCTACAGATTCCATGCAATCCCGTTCAAAAATGTCAATGGCATTGTTCACAGAAATAAAACAAGCAATCCTAAAATTTGAATGGAACCTGAATAGACAAGAAGAACAAAGCTGGAGGCAACAGATTCCCTGATTTCAAAGTACATAATAAAGGATTAGTAATCAAACAGTATGGTATTGACATAAAAACAGGCACACAGTTCAATGGAACAGAATAAAGAGCTCACAAATAAATGCACACATATATAGTCAACTGACTTGCAACAAAAAGAGTCAAGAAAATACAATGATCAGGAAAGGACAGTCTCTTCAATAAATGATGCTGGGAAAACTGGACAGACACATGGCAAAGAATAAAACTGGACTACCATCTTATACCATAATCAAAAATTAACTGAAAATGGATTAAAGACTTGAAGGTAAAACCTGGAACCATAAAAATCATAGCAGAAAACACAGACGGTGCTTTCTTTAATGTCAGTCTTAGTCATGTTAGTCATGTTAGTGATATTTTTTTGTTGTTTGTTTTTAAATCTGAAACAAAGACAAAAGGCAACAAAGCAAAAATAAACAAACGAGACTAAATAAAAATGAAAAACTTCTGGATCGCAAAGGATACTATCACTAAAATGAAATGGCAATTAACCAAATGGAAGAAAATATTTGCAAATCAAATGGAAGAAAATATTTGCAAATCTGATTTGTAACCAAGTGGCGATGAACATTAAATATGTACAAATATTGAATCACTATTTTGTACATCTGAAATTAATATAATGTTACACATCAGTTAGATGTCATTTAAAAAGATAATTAAGGAGCAAGAAGTATTCCCAATCCAGACTATGTTTTTAAGAAGTAAAGTAAACTAAATCACAGTTTATTTTATATGCTTTTAAATTAAAATTTTTGCTTATATTTGAAATTTTACATTTCTACATTTCATATTTTTATTTATTTTTATGTTTTATATAAAAGACTATCTGGATCAATAATGCTTATTAAATATAATTTCACGTATCTGAAAATATCTGCAATGGCTATTGCTTACCTGATTCCCATGGAGATCAAGTTTGACTAATTTTATACAACTTCCAAGTGGACTAATATTGGTAATAAAATTGTTTGAGAAGATGCATATTTTAAGAGAGATACAAGATTGCAAATTTTCCATAGATTTTAAATGAAGACCAGTGAACTTCACAAAAACAAAATCTTTCTGATCTTCTATTATGTTTTCATTATAGTGACTCCATTCTTTATGATTGATTAGCTCTTTTGTGACAGTTGCATGAAACATCTAGAAAAAAATGATAAATTCCTTTTAAAATGTTTTTTCTACTTTCTTTTTTTTTAATTAAATCTTTATTGTTCAGATTACATTTGTTCCTCTTTTTTTTCCTCCCATAACTCCCCTCCTCCCAGCTCCCGCCCCACCCTCCGCCCTCACTCCCCACCCACTGTCCTCATCCATAGGTGCACGATTTTTGTCCAGTCTCTTCCCGCATCTCACACTCCCCTTCCCCCCCCCAAGAATAGTCAGTCCATTCCCTTTCTATGTCCTTGATTCTATTATAATCACCAGTTCATTCTGTACATCAGATTATTTATTCACTTGATTCTTAGATTCACTTGTTGATAGATGCATGTTTGTTGTTCATAATTTGTATCTTTACCTTTTTCTTCTTCCTCTTCTTAAAGGATACCTTTCAGCATTTCGTATAATACTGGTTTAGTGGTGATGAACTCCTTTAGCTTTTCCTTATCTGTGAAGCTCTTTATCTGACCTTCAATTCTGAATGATAGCTTTGCTGGATAAAGTAATCTTGGTCGTAGGTTCTTGGTATTCATCACTTTGAATATTTCTTGCCATTCCCTTCTGGCCTGCAAAGTTTCTGTTGAGAAATCAGCTGACAGTCGTATGGGTATTCCCTTGTAGGTAACTGAGTTTCTTTCTCTTGCTGCTTTTAAGATTCTCTCTTTGTCTTTTGCTCTTGGCATTTTAATTATGATGTGTCTTGGTGTGGTCCTCTTTGGATTCCTTTTGTTTGAGGTTCTCTGCGCTTCTTGGACCTGTAAGTCCATTTCTTTCACCAGGTGGGGGAAGTTTTCTGTCATTATTTCTTAAAATAGGTTTTCAATATCTTGCTGTCTCTCATCTTCTGGCACCCCTATAATTCTGATGTTGGTGCGTTTGAAACTGTCCCAGAGGCTCCTTACACTATCTTCGTATTTTAGGATTCTTTTATCATTTGCTTTTCTGGTTGGGTGTTTTTTGCTTCCTCGCATTTCAAATCTTTGACTTGATTCTTGCGCTCCTCTGGTCTGCTGTTGGGTGTCTGTATAATATTCTTTATTTCAGTCAGTGAATGCTTAATTTCTAGTTGGTTCTTTATCACAACATCGAGGGTCTCATTAGATTTCTTGAGGCTCTCATCAAGTTTATCGGCAGTTTCTAGCAAATTATTGAAAGCCCTCAAAAGTGCGTTTTTTAGCTCTATATCCTCCATTTCTGTCATGTTTTTTTGTCTCCGTATTTTTTTTTAACTTATCCCTGAGGCCCAGCAGAGGGGATCAGGGCCCATGCACCACAGTGTTTCTGTGGCAGCCTTCTGGGCCAGTGCGTGCCATGGGTGGGCAGGCACCGAATTTGACACGGCTGCATGTCTCCGCATTTTTTATGCTTTCTTGGTGCACCCCCTTGTGGTCTTTGTGTGCAGTCTTGTTGTAGTTAAGCCTTAATTGTTGTCGGCAATACTAGGGGCGAATTCACCTCCAGGCTAACTGGTTATGAGAGTCAGCTGTGTCTGCAGTGGGAGAGCTTCTGTGCTGAATCTCTAGGGCAGTGCTAATCTAGCCTTTGCCTGAGGCTATCTGGCAAATGCCTCTGTGCAGGGCTTGGGCGGGGCGGGTCCCAGGGGATCTACAGGGCGGGCGGGGCGAGCAGTTATGGCTGCTCTCAGTTCCGTCCCCAGCGGCTCTGCAACCACTGCAAACCTCGGAGAGAAAGCTGCCTTCCCGCTTCTCCCGTTTGAGTCTGGGTCCCTAGAGACTCACCCGGATCTGGAGCTCAGAGTCTGAAACTCCCTCCCGATTGAAAACAGCAACCGCGCCCTCCGCCGCCGGCCCACTCCACATGCACTCCGAACCTTAGTATTTCACCTCCGCACTGCGCCTCCTCTGAGTCTCGGTATGGATTTCTCTTTTCTTCTAGTTGTAGAATCTCTCCTCAGCCAGCATTCCTGTGGTTCTGGATGATGTCCGTTCCGTCTTTTAGTTGTATTTTTGAAGTGGTTGTTCGAGGCAGCAAACTCCGGCATTAACCTATGCCGCCATCTTGGTTCCTCCCATAAAATTCTGTTTTTTCTACTTTCAAACAAATGCATTTATAATAATAAAAATGCAATATGCTAATTAGACCGGACATCCTTCCAGACAAAGCCGCAGTAGGTGGGGGCCGAGGTAAAGGTGGCAGAGGCCCCAGGCTGCGGTGGTGGTGGGCGGGGGCCAGGGCCAAGGCCCTTGTACAAATTTCATGCATTGGGCCTCTAGTATGAAAATAAAAAACATTTGCTAATAGTGATAAAAATGGGTAGAAACTAAGTTAATTTTTGTAAAAAAATCTAATTCCCATAAAATTTATCTTAAAGCATCTTAAATGTCTAACATTTATATAACTACAACTCAAAACTGTATTTTTGTCCTCACCAATAAATTAACCAGTAACAGAATGAAAAACTTTCCTATTCCTAAAATACTTAGAGAAAATGAAATTCAGCAAAATTGTTGATATGAAAACATCAACTGTTGGCAAGACAACTAAAAACAACGGAAACTATACCTTAGCTGACCTTGTATAATAGTTTTTGTTAAAAGATATTTTCAATAAAGAAATTATTCGAATTATGAACTCCTAGCTCAGGAAAGTGGTATTTTTTGTGGGAGGGGCTAAAAAATGCAGCTAAATGAAATTAAGGTGCAATAGAGGGCTTCAACTGTTATAAATATTTATTTTCTAAAGGGATAATTAGCAATTATAATATACTAGAGGCCCACTGCACAAAAATTTGTGCACTCAGGGGGGGTCCCTCAGCCCGGCCTATGCCCTTTTGCAGTCTGGGACCCCTTGGAGGATGTCCACCTGCTCCCTGGGGGATCAGGCCCAAGCTGGCAGTCCTCAGGGGATGTACACTTGCCAGCGGGGAGCAGGCCTAAGCTGCAGTCGGACATCCTTAGCACTGCTGAGGAGGCGGGAGAGGCTGCTACCACCACCGCTGTACTGGCAGCTGGCAGCATGGCTTGTGGCTGAGCAGAGCTCCCCCTGTGGGAGCACACTGACCACCAGGGGGCAGCTCCTGAGTGAGCGTTTGCCCCCTGGTGGTTGGTGTGTGTCATAGTGACCAGTCATTCCCAGTCATTCTGCTATTAGGGTCAGTTTGCATATTACCCTTTTATTATATAGGATAGAGGCCTGGTGCATGGGTGGGGGCCGGCTGGTTTGCCCTAAAGGGTGTCCCGGATCAGGGTGGGGGTCCCGCTGGGGTGCCTGACCAGCCTGGGTGAGGGGCTGATGGCTGTTTGCAGCTGGTCACATTCCCTTCAGGGTGAGGGTCCCCACTGGGGTGCCTGGCCAGCCTGGATGAGGGGCTGATGGCTGTTTGCAGGCCGGTCAAGCCCTCCCCACTCCCAGTGGGGACCCTCACCCCATGGTTTGGCCAGCCTGGGTGAGGGGCTGATGGCTGTTTGCAGGCTAACCACACCCCCTTTAGGGTGAGGGGTCCCCACTGGAGTGCCTGGCCAGTCTGGGTGAGGGGCTGAGTGCCGTTTTCAGGCTGGCCAAGACCCCGGCGATGGAAGCTCCCAGCCTCTCCTTTTTTTTTTATTCTGGGACTTATTTACCTTCTATAATTGAAACTTTGTAGCCTTGAGAGGAGCTCTGAGCCGGCCAGGGCAGGCGGGAGGGAAGCCTCCTGCTTGCTGCAGCTCCGTGGCCACAGCCAGCTGAAAGCAGGTATCTGGGGTTTATTTATCTTCTATATTTGAAACTTTATTGCTTTGAGTTGAGCTCAGAGCCGGGGCCGCGGCAGGCTGGGAAGCTTGGCTTCCTCCATCATTGGGGCAACCAAGCCTCCTGCTTGCTCCAGCTCCATGGCTGCCGGCCACCATCTTGGTTGGGTTAATTTGCATATAGTCGCTCTGATTGGCCGTGGGTGTGGCTTAAGGCATAATGAAGGTATGGTCAATTTGCATGTTTGTCTTTTATTAGTGTAGATAAGTTGGGGCAAAAGTATGTTACAATTGTGCATATGAAAAAGAAAATAAATAATCCTATATAATAAAGAGGTAATATGCAAATTGCATCCTTGTACAAGATGGCCGCCCCCATGTGGTCACAAGATGGCCACCCCCATGTGGTCACAAGATGGCCACACCCATTTGTCGTCACAAGATGGCCACCCCATGTGGTCACAAGATGGCCCCCACAAGATGGGCAGCCAGGGAGGGCAGTTGGGGGCGAACAGGCCAGCGGGGGAGGGCAGTTGGAGGTGACCAGGCCGGCAAGGGAAGGCAGTTGGGGGTGACTGGGCTGGCAGGGGAGTGTTTAGGGGGTGATCAGGCTGGCAGGCAGAAGTGGTTAGGGGTGATCAGGCAGGCAGGCAGGCGAGTGGTTGGGAGCCAGCAGTCCCAGATTGTGAGAGGGATGTCTTACTGCCAGATCGTGCCTAAACCCGAAGTCAAACATCCCCCGAGGGGTCCCAGATTGGAAAGGGTGCACGCCGGGCTGAGGGACACCCCTCAGTGCACGAATTTCATGCACCAGGCCTCTAGTAAATAACAAACTCTGTGCTTCATGGTCTCACAACTGTAAACCTACTTTTGCCCCACTCTGTATTTATGTTTAATTCTATTAGGCAATTAAGATCTATAATTCTAATACTTTCAAATATAAGTTTATCTAAAACTTCTGGATTAGAATTTTCTTTAAAAAATATATTTTTATTTTCTGATTTTTAGAGAGTAAAGAAGGGACAGGGAGAAAGGAGAGAGAGATAAAACATCAATGAGAGAGAAACATCCATAGGCTACCTCCTGCATGCCCCCTACTGGCGATCAAACCAACTATGGAGCATATGTCCTGACCAGGAATTGAACCAGCGACCTCTTGGTGGATGGGTTGACGCTTAACCATTGAGCCACACCATCTGGGTTGGATCAGAGCTTTTTGTGCAATTTTATATAGTATTTCTCATATATATGAAATTTATCTTATTATGGGTAATTTTGCTTTTATAAAAGGCA